AGAACTACCCGGTTAAGTGGTTCTTGGAGTCCTCAGCTCAGATACTAGATGATACAATGTTTATTAAGCTGCTACATTTTAGAGCGATTAGTAACACTGCAATAGGTAATGTGTACAATTTCACACAGAAGATTCTCACAAATACACTTGGTTCAATCTATCCCATCCCTTTTGCCATGACTGTCATCTTTACTACATCTATAACATTATAAAACCCCTGAGACAATATTATAATCTTTAAGAAGCCATATATAATTTTTAAAATTAGGTGAGGGGAAGGGATAGTCTTTTGTATTTACCCATATAATTACAATTTGTGCTGATTTTCACTCCTGAATATCCAAATTTCTATCTTGTGTCATTCCTTTAGGCCTGAAGAATTTCCTTTACTATTCCTCTAATGCCAGTTTTCTGGGGAAACATTTTTAGCTTTTGTTTATTTAAAAATGTCACAATTCTGTCTTCATTTTTATGGATACTTTCACTGGACATGAAACTATGGGATGGGGCAGGCACTGTGGTGCAGGGGTTTAAACCGCAGCTTGAGACGCCCACAACTCATGTCAGAGTGCTAGTTAAAGTCTTGGCTGCTGTGCTTCCAATCCAGCTTCCTGCTAATGCACCTGGGAAGGCAGTGATGCTGGCCCAACTCCTTGGGCCCCTGCCACCCACATGGGAGACCCAGATGAAGTTTGGGCTCCTGGTTTCAGTCTGGCCCAGCTCCAGCTGTCTGCAGTCATTTGGCAAGTAAACAAGTAGATGGAAGATCTCTGTCTCTCTGTCACTCTGCCTTTCAAATTAATTAATTACTCTGAAAAAAAAGTAAGATTATGGGTTGACAGTCCTCCTGTCCATCCCACCAACACTTTAAAGAAGTTCCACTGTCTCTGGCTCCCATTGTTCCTAACTGGAAGTCCGCAATATTCCTGTCATTGTTCTCCTACAGGTAACATGCACTTCATCTCTGTCTGCTCTCCAAATTGCCTTTCTCTTTGTTTTACAGCAGTTGGTGATGTGCTTATGTGTGGTGTTCTTTATATTTAATGCACTGAGAGCTTGCTGAGATTTCTAAATCTATACATATGTGTTTCACAGATGTGGGGAGAATCTCAGCCACCATTTACTACTTTTTAAAAAAATTTTTTTTGACAGGCAGAGTTAGACAGTGAGAGAGAGAGAGAGAGAGAGAGAGAGAGAGAAAGGTCTTCCTTACATTGGTTCACCCCCCAAATGGCCGCTACGGCTGGCGTGCTGCAGCCGGTGCGCTGCACCAATCCGAAGCCAGGAGCCAGGTGCTTCCTCCTGGTCTCCCATGGGGTGCAGGGCCCAAGGACTTGGGCCATTCTCCACTGCACTCCCAGGTCACAGCAGAGAGCTGGACTGGAAGAGGAGCAACCGGGACAGAACCAGTGCCCCAACTGGGACTAGAACTCGGGATGCCAGCGCCACAGGCAGAGGATTAGCCAAGTGAGCTGCGGTGCCAGCCATCATTTACTTCTTCAAACATTTTTTTCTGCCCTTACTTCCTGCCCAGCTTTCTCCTCTCCTACTGGTAGTTTAATTGCATAACATTAGACCTCTGGACATTGTCCCACAGGTCAGTGAGGTACTCTTTTTTTCCAGTCTGTTTTTTTTTTCTAATTAGATAATTCCTATGTATCTTCAAGTTAATGGATACCTTCTACTGTCATCAACATCCTATAAAGCTCACTGATTTCAAATATCATATTTTTCAGTTCCATATTTTGTGTGCATATGGTTTCTACTTCCCTGCTGAGATTTTGTATCTTTTCATTCACTACAAACCTGTTTTGCTCTCTACCCTTGAGCACAGAAACAATAGGTACTTTAAAGTCCTTCTCTGGGATTAATATTTACTAATATTTACTAATTTCCTTTCCTCTTGAGTGTGACATTTTTCCTATTTGTTTTCTTTTTCTAGTACCTTAGATTGAATCCTAGACATCGTGAATGGCATACAGTTGGTCCCTGACTTAACAACAGTTTGACTTTATGATGATGTGAAAGCAGTATGCACCCAGCCGAAACCAGACTTTGTGGAGTTTTGATCTTTGCCCAGGCTAGCAGTATGTGGTACAATACTCTCTCTCTCAATGCTGAACTGTGGCAGCAAGCCACAGCTCCCAGTCAGTCATGTGATCACAAGGGGAAACAACCAATACCCTACAGCACTGTTAAGTTAGGATGCTCGGTAGGCTGGGTGTGTTAAATGCTTTTTTGACTTATGCTATTTTCAACGTATAATGGGTTTATCAGGATGTAACCCCATTGTAAGTTGAGGAGCTTCTGTATTGTGGATTCTGAATTCTGTTTCATTCCTCTAAGAGCACAGTCAGCTCTACATATCCTTGTGTTCTGCATCATGGATTAAACCAACCAGATAGGAAATACCAGAAAAAAAGAAACTGTTGTCTGTACTGAACATGCACAGACTTCTCCCTAAACAATACAGTGTACCAACTGTTTACATAGCATTTCCATTGTGTTAAGTATTATAAGTAATTTAGAGGCTATATAAAGTATATGGGAGGGTATACATAGGTTATATGCAAATATGCTGCCATTTTATATGAGGGACTGGAGCACCAGCAGATTTTGGTACATATGTGTGTGGTGGGGAGGGGGGCAGTTTCCTGGGACCAACCTCCACCATGGATAGAGGGATGACTGTACCGAGTTTTCATTCAGCAGACAATTAACCTGTCTAGTATCAAAATTCCAAATCCTATCTTCCTTACATTGGGCAATAGCTGAATTCCCCATGTGGTTATTTCAGCTGTTTGAAGTCCATTCTGTGTACGCAGTTTAGGAGTCAGCCAGAGACGTCAGTAGGGTTCATATACAGAATTAGGGGTCCTCCTTTGAGGTTCTTTCCTTTTGGGAATATATCTTCCTCACTTTTCAGTTTCTATGGTCACCCTGAGTTCTCTCATTCCCCAACCAATAAGACTACAAGTTCCCATTCAAGTTGTAACTTCCCCACATCACAGCAACTGCACAGCCTGCCCACAGGTGAAAAGCTATAAAAAACAGGAAATCCTTTCCAGTTACCACTCTTCTCTCTTCAGTGCTACAGTGGAAATAGCACTGGAACTAGAGAATTTGAAAACCTGAATTTACATCCTAGCCTGACCATCTTCTAGCTAGAAGTCAGTTCTCAGTAACAACATCCTCATCTTAAAACAGGAAAAGGAATGTCTACTTTAGGTGATTTTTGAGAGGATCTAAAGAGATAATACATAAGAAAAGTGAGGCTCAGAGGAGTTCAACGATATCCTACATATTAAGTGGTAGGAGTTGGATTGGCCATCCCAGGTCTATACATGCTTTTACTGCTATCCCATATTGCTCCCACCTTTCTTACGGCCACCCTTTCCATTTTCTCCTTCTAAGGACATTTCTGAGCAACTATTATGATCTCATTGCCAAGTTGGGCACCTCGAACACTTGGAAGTCAAAGTTTCCAGCCCTGGAGCTGGTGCTGTGGCACAATGGGTTAAGCCACAGCTTGCAGTGCTGGCATCGCATATGTGCACCAGTTCGAGTCCTGGCTGCTCCACTTCTAATCCAGCTCCCTGCTGATGGCCTGAGAAAAGCAGTAGAGGATGGTCCAAGTGCTTAGGCCCTTAGCACTCATATGAGAGACCTGGGGGAGGCTCTTGGCTCCTGGCTTCAGCTTGGCCCAGTCCTAGCCATTGTGGCTATTTGGGGAGTGAATGGAAATGGATGGAATATCTCTGTCTCTCCTTCTATTACTAGGCCTTTCAAATAAATAAATCAATCTTAAAAAGTCTCTACCCTGAGGAACTTAAAGCGCTATTCTCTGTTCTAAGCATGACTGCCCTCCAGTTTATGCCTTCTTTTGGTCACTCTCTAGTGTTGAAGTAGCTATTTTTTAAACTATTTTGTTCAGTTTAGAATGGTGATCTATATGAGGGGTCAGCTCAGTACAATCTGCTTAGCTTTTACCAAAAGCAGAACTGACATCTACCGATTTTTAGTTTTCCTAGCTGGCTGCTGTTATATTTGGAGAGACTGAAAAAGTATATTGGCAGGGCTGGCACTGTGGCATAGCAGGTTAAAGCCCCAGCCTGCAGTGCCGGCATCCCATATGGGCGCCAGTTCAAGTCTCAGATGCTCCAATTCCAATCCAGCTCTCTGCTATGGCCTGGGAAAGCAGTAGAAGATGGCCCAAGTCCTTGGGCCCCTGCACCCACATGGGAGACCCGGAAGAAGCTCCTGGCTCTGGATCAGCTCAGCTCCGGTCGCTGCCGTCATCTGGGGAGTGAACCAGCGGATGGAAGACCTCTCTCTCTCTTTCTCTGGCTCTACCTCTCTCTGTAACTCTTTCAAATAAGTAAAATAAATCTTGGGCCGGCGCCATGGCTCACTAGGCTGATCCTCCGCCTTGCGGCACCGGCACACCGGGTTCTAGTCCCGGTCGGGGCGCCGGATTCTGTCCCGGTTACCCTTCTTCCAGGCCAGCTCTCTGCTGTGGCCAGGGAGTGCAGTGGAGGATGGCCCAAGTGCTTGGGCCCTGCACTCATGGGAGACCAGGAGAGGCACCTGGCTCCTGTCATCGGATCAGCGCGGTGCGCTGGCCACAGCGCGCTGGCCGTGGCGGCCATTGGAGGGTGAACCAACGGAAAAGGAAGACCTTTCTCTCTGTCTCTCTCTCTCTCACTGTCCACTCTGCCTGTCAAAAATAAATAAATAAATACATAAATAAATAAATAAAATAAATCTTTAAAAACCAAACAAAAAAAAAACACCCTATATTATCACGGTCCCTATTTTCCTAGAATCATCTGCCATGTTCATTTTAATAAAAAACACAGTATTTCATGGAATCTTTCTGTCACTTAGGATCTTTGTACAGACCACTTCCACTCCTAAAGGGCAACAATACTTGCTCAGAATTTAACTGCTAGGGAGTGAGAGGCCTGTAGTCCAGCCACTTTCCTCCCAGTCCTCCCTACCTGGGGTCTTGGCTATTCCTTGATCTGGTAATGCTCCGTACTTCCGATGCTGATCGTACCAGTCGCTCACCGTCATGGTTGCCAGACTCGGATAGCCAGCTCCAAACACTCTGCAAAAATCACAGTGCATTTAGGATGTGAAACAGAAATAGCACTATTTAACAGCCTCTTATCTTTAATGACAAAGCCTAGGTCCATTTCTGCCTCATTCCCCTACCTAGCAATCTTCTGAGGAGCTACAGAAAATCCCAGGAGGCTACATAAGAGGACCCAGAAACAGGCACTCAAGATAACTGCCCCAGGATCATCCGCCAAATAAGCAGAGGCTAGTGTCCCACAGGGCAGTGATGAGACTACTATAGATGGGCTGTTTATAGGGTTGGTGGCTCTGCAATGTACAGCAAAGGAGGGGACTCTCCTGCTACCCTATGAAAAAGCATCTCAAGAACACAGAACCAAGGGGCCGGCTTTATGGCACAGCAGGTTAAGCCATCGTCTGTGGTGCCGGGATCCCATATGGGCTCCAGTTTGAGTCCCAGGTATTGCACTTCTGATCCAGCTCCCTGCTAATGCTCCTTGGAAAGCAGCAGCAGATGGCCCCAGGGACCCCTGCCACCTACATAGGAGACCCAGATGGAGTTCCAGGCTCCTGGTTTCAACTCAGTCCAGCTCTTGCTGTTGCAGCCATTTGGGGAATGAACCAGTAGATGGAAGCTTTCTGTCTCTGTCTTCAAATGAATAAATCAAGTCTTCAAAAAAAGAACTCAGAATTGAATCATAGGCAAATATGTCCTTGTGAGATTGGCCGTGGAAGGCAGCAAAAGTAGCAATAAAGGGAAGGAATTTTAAAGTATACAGTTCTCCAGGCTTTTTTTCCTTTGTTTTCATTATTTGTTTATGTTTATCCCTTTGAGCCTGTCTGTAGGCTTGAGTTTGTGAAGGGCATGCCCGAGACAGACATGGAGTATCCGCAGGGATGATACCCCTTTGACGAAAGAACAGACTCCACAGGTGAAGCTACGACTTTCCAACACCACCGCTGTGTCACTCATGCACTACTCGCAAACCACAGAAGCAGGGGCGCAGAACAGGCAAACCACTTTCTGGTACCACTTACTTGGCTTGGGTTGCATTCCGAGTGAGAATGAAGGGTTTCATTGGAGGCCTCTCCTGACGAGATGAGTGAGATGTTGATGCCTAAAAAGGAAATTGATTATCAGAGGTGCAATGGCCATTTTGCCTACTCTCCTGTGCAGGCTTGTAATGGCTTCAGGGGCTTGAAAAGCTCTGGATTCAAGAGTCACTCACTTTCTCTGTATCGATCTCTAAGCTATAGCAGCAGAACAGTAACAGTGGGGGGTGCTTCGCCCTTCTCAGGGGGCTGGAGTGTCAGGCTAAACAGGGAGAAAGTTTTCCCGGGAATCCTCTTATCACAAGTGAGCATTACTTGGCTTGAAAGTACTCCTTCCCCCCAAAAAAGGGAGATTCCCAAGCCTTCTTCCACATTCCTTCTCAATCTCTGGAGGTGAATTTGAAGCCCCTTTCCTTAGCCTGGCCTTTGGTGGAAAAGCAAAATTAAAAGCCTTCTTCTTTGCATTGTGAGTAAAACGTTTATCAAACAATATCACGCATCACATGCTACCGAGAAATCTTGCATGAAAGCAAGAGTCAATTAATGTGGCAAACATCATGTCTTATTTTAAGAAACCACTCAGATGACATCCCAGGTTCCTGCAGTTGGTCTGGCCTTGGCCGCTGTGGCCATCTGGGGAGTGAATCAGTGCATGGGAAGATACCTCTCTCTCTCTCTCTCTCTCCCACTCCCCTCTCTGTTACACTGCCTTTCAAATAAATAAATCTTAAAAAAAAAAAGAAATCACCATGGCCACTCTAACCTTCAGCAACTGCCATACTGATCAGTTAGCCACGCCACAACAGTGAAACAGTGAGGCCAGACCCTCCACTGGCAAAGAGATAATGACTTGATGAAAGCTCAGATGACTGTTAGTATTTTTTAATCAATAAAGCATTAAAAAAAAACCTTCTAAAGCTCCTTCCAATATCATCATGCTGTTAATTGTCAAGAGTCCCAAGGGTGTTTTGGATGATGATGTTCCTAAATGAGAGGAAGTGCTGACATGTTTTAAGGAAGTAGGGCCCAAGAAAAAGTGCTCACTTTGAGCTCTGCTACTTTTGCAGCTGATCCCAATACCACACGAGGGAATATTAAAAACAAATAAAGACCAACCAAACAAACGAGACAGGGCAAGACCCAGAAGAGTCCAGCTTCAGAATGCTTGCAAATCATTCATCCCAACACTCTCAAGGGGCCTTATGGCCTTAGAATACTAATTGTTCACTCATTGATCCTTTCACATGAAGAAGTAGGTCGATGCTATCCTGAGGCAATGGCTCCTGGGCCAATTAGCACAAATCAAATGAGGAAGAAGTTTCTCTGAGGACTTAAAGAAATGTCTGTGACGAGCTGATAAATTCAACGCTATTCATGTTTTATCTGGAACCCAAGATCAAGTGGCAGCGCAGCCCTTTTGGAAGCAGCAGCCCTGTAACTGTGATCTTCAAAGACCGCCAAAGCTGTAGAACACCGGGTACCCTGTAGCAGTACATGAGGCATTCTGTGCAGGGAGGTGTCCTTGCTGTGCCTCTTCCTTGAAGATACACAGGTGTGAGAGAGCAACATTGTGTAAGGTTAAATTCTGCTTCCTCCCCCGATGGAAACATATTCCCTGGTCTTTTTATCTTCTACCTACCTACCTACCTGTCCCCCCCCCTCCAGTTCCAGTTTCTCCTCCATTCTACTCCTCTTGCCTTTTGTTGATTATGGTGAAGCACAGACTGGCCTTCCCCTAGTAGCTAGGAGTTCTCAGAACCAAAATCAATTTGTATTCTTCTTTCCCTCATGGTCTGTCGCAAAGATACAAATGACTAGAAGAAGCGTGTTACAGATTAGACAGCAGAAAGCTACCCCAGCGACCCTTCAGCCTTTCTCCATTCATCTCAATAGAGTTTCTGGAGACTTAAAAGGATTTTAGTGTGCTTACTCTCCTGCAGAATATCCAAATCTCTGCCGGCAGCTTGCTGAGCTATGTGGGCAGGAAGCAGGCTTACCTCTTTGGAAGAGTCTTTTTCTCTCAGGATTCTTATCTCCTGGTCAATGCTCTCAATCTCTTCCAAGCTGATACCAATCCACCTCCGAAGGTGAAGGAGATAATATTCACGAACACAATCGTCATCTGCTTGACCACTTTCCACAGCAGATTTCAGTGCCGACAACCTATTCTCCACCTCCTTCTTCTGCTTGTATCTGTTCCACAGAAAAGCATTAGCCATGAACTTAAAAATACAAAGGTATTCCCTCAAAAGAAGGTCACAGTAAGATTTCATCTTTTGCGAATGACCATGCAGTTAAGTACACTGCTGTTCATCGTGGCAGGAATACGGATTCTACAGCTATACCCCAGTGCTTGCTGAGAAATAACATTCTGCAGCCACCCCACCCCCCAAATATATAACTAACCTGATCCCAGCAAGTCTTGCCCTCTCGGTCATTTGACTGCACCAACCCTTACTGGGTTAGGTGTTTTCTATCACCCAGGGCTCCCTACAATGTTTCCCTTTGGGAGTTATACCTTCAAAGAATCGCAGAATCTTAGGGGTCATTTACCTGCCATTGATGCCAAGAATTCTTCGTGAAATAGCCTAAAAATGGTCATCACTTCTTTTCTTCTGTGGTAAAACATTTCCAGCTCTTCTGACTCATCCTTATATATTTTTAAACACTCATAACCACCATGGCTGCCTTTTTCAGGAAGCATTCTAGTATGCCATCCATCACCCACCTGACCAGCATCTACTGAGTACCTATTATGTGAGTACCTACTGTTCTCAGCGCTTGAGACAAGGCAGTATATAAAAGTCCTTACTCTCAAGAAGCTTTCATTCTAGTGGAGACAGACAAAAAGAAATAGATGATGAGTCAGGTGGCGTTAAGTGATATCAAGCAGTAAAAACTAAGGTCAAGTACACGGTGGTAATGTAAGAGTACCAGTGTTATCACATATAAGGTGGTCAGTAGAGATTCTCTGAAGAGGTGACATTTGGGCCAAGACTTCAACAAAATGAGAGAGCAAGGCACGCTGATATTGAGAAGAGTGTTCTAAGAGGCAAAAGCAAATATGAAGGCCCTGGGGTGGGAGAGTACCTGGCCTGACATGTTGGAGAAATAATAGGCCAGCCGGAATGGAAGGAAGTGGCTGGAATGAAGATGAGTGATATAAGATGAGGTCAGAGATAGCCAGGGTCCTAATGTATAGAGCCCTGCAGGCCATAATACCCAAAATATAAAATACCATGGTATTTTGAGATGCGAATGCCACTGGAAGTTTGTGAATAGAATTCATGACATGAATGGAGTGACATGAAAAGAATGTTTAAAAAAATATGAGCCAGGCTCTGGCGTGGAGTGTGGGCTGCAGGGCTTGGGAGGCAAAGGTAGAAGCAGGGCAAGCAATTTAAGATGCTGCTGCTAGAATCCAGGTGAGAGGTGGTAACTTGAAATAGGGAAGTAGTGATGGAGGTGGTAAGTTGTGAATGTATTTAAAATACAAGACAGACAGATCTTCTCATTTAGTGGCTGTAAGGGCTTGAGGGGCAAGAGAGGGGTCAATGACAACCCAGGAAATCTCTCTGCCAGGAGGCTCACTGTAGACCTCCAGAATCAGATGCTCCTTTGCAGGTTTTCACCCGAATTAGAAGGTCTGAACCTGAAGTCCATGGAGTGACACTCAGGGTAAGCAGGGTGGTCGCTGAACTTCCTGAAATTTTACATAGAACTCTACATGTATGCTTTGTTCTTCTTTTTGCTGGACAGAGGTTTTATAGGTTTCCCCAAATTACCCTTTAAAGGGGTCTGTGACCCACAAAAAGTCAAGAACCACTGCTCTGGAAACACTATTTATATGTACATATATAAAAAGTCTTTATATGTATAAAGATTATTTATATAAATTTATATTTATATGTTTACATATATATATATATATATAATAGGCTCCTCTGTTTCTTTACCCAACAAGTGGGCCTTTTTATATAAGGTCACCACCATCATACGAGCATCAGAGGTGGCTTTGGGAGTAGAACAATATAAAGGTCAGTTCCTAGTTCATGAATGCTATTAGGAGATATTATTTTAGAATGCTTAACGCCAATCCCATTCCTACTCCCACCTTCTCCTGGATGCATCCAAGTCACAGGAAAAAAAACATATGAGGGCTTTAGAATGCACATAATCCAGGCTGAATTCTGGATTAGTCTAGTGATCCTCTGAATAAGGTTTTTGCTTCTTTTCCCATTCTCTACACACATTCAGCCCATATTCTGTTCCTTCCTTCCTTGACTTAGCTCTTCAATCCTCTTTTAGTCCTCCACACCTGTTTAGGTCGGTGCTTTAAACACCTATTTGCCTTAGAATCTTTTCTCCTACAGAAAACATCCATAGACCCCAATAGACCCCAATGAGTAATAAACAGATAAACCGTGCCTTGATGTAACCAGGAGGGCTCCCAACATCCTTCCTCCTCTTAGGGCTCCAAGGAAAAGACTGAAAAATTGTTCTAGACCTCCACTGTTCTGCATTCCCCAGAGTGTGTCATTAAACGGAAATATTCCCAATCACCCCAGAATTCCACACCTCTGGGACCCTTCCGTCTCCAGGAAATGCTCACCATTCCTTTTTTTTTTTTTTTTTCTTGTTTCCAAGCTGCTAAAGAGAGCTTTAAAAAAAGACTAAAAATCTGTATTATCAAACTTTGGCCAAGTGGTCCCTCTGGCTCAGTTATCCTCTTACAGGAACTCCATACCACCATCATACTCATCTTGCTTTACCTTCAAATCTCTGTACTTCAGCCTGCCTAATCTTTTACTCTTGTCTTTAAGGAGCTAATTCTCTCCTAAGACATATCCAAGGCATTGCCTTCATCATTCTTCTTGCCCTCCATCTAATCCTTATCCATATTTTTCCAGGCCTCATTGAATCAACCACCTGCCCTGTCATCAGGAGCTACCTTTTTTTCACTCTGCTGGTGCCTTTCTCCAGTCTTAGAAACACTCTTTCTCAATCCATTTGTACCTTTTCCAATGACCACTCTTCTCCATGCTGTAGTGGGAACACCACAAGAACTGGGATTTGAAGATCCAAGTTGAAATGCTAGCTTGGTCTCTTAACTAGCTTTATAACTTCGTGCAAGTCAATTTTTAGTCTGTTTCCTTTGAAGAGGGCTGAAGCTGTGGCATTGCGGGTAAAGCTGCTGCCTGCAATGCCGGCATCCCACATTGGGCTGCTCTACTTTTGATCCAGTTTTCTGCTATGACCTGGGAAAGCAGTGGAACATGGCCCAAGTCCTTGGGCTCCTGCACCCATGTGGGAGACTGGAAGAAGCTCTAGGCTCCTGGCTTTGCATTGGCCCAGCTGCAGCCACTGCAGACATTTGGGGAGAGAACAAGCGGATGGAAGCCTCCCACACCGTCTCTGCCTCTCTGTAATTCTGTCTTTCAAACAAAAAAATAAATTTTTTAAAAAATGGGGAGGAGAGAGATGAGTGTTTGATGCAGTGGTTAAAACACTGCTTGGGATGCCTGTGTCCCGTATCAGAGTGCCGGAGTTGGAGTCCAGGCTCCACTTTCAATTCCAGCTGCCCTCAGTGTGCACCCTAGAAGGCAGCTGTGGATGGCTCAAGTATTTGGGTATCTGCCACCCAGGTGGGAAGATCTGAATTCCGGGTTCCTGGTTTAGGTATGGCCCAGTCTTGGCTGTTGCAGGCAACTGGGGAGTGAACCAGTGGATGGACGATCTCTCTTTCAAATACATACAAGCTTAAAATGGGGTAAGAGTATCCCAAAGAATTGGTAAGAGGATCAAATAAAAAAAAACACATGCAAATGCTTTCTTTGTAGGCAGCAATACAAATATTGTTAGCCGATGAGGAAGATGAGGCTAGGAGGGCCTAGAAAATGCATGATTCAGCTTCAGTAAGTAGTAGAAATTGGATTGGTCACCCCAGGTCTGACTGACTCCTAAATTCAGGCCTTTTCAGTTCCATCAGATTGCTTTCATCTTTCTTACAACCGCTCTGTCCCTCCCAAAGATACTTCCAAGCACTTGCTATGATCCAGTTACTGCAAAAGGCAGCATGGGATACAATGATACAAGTAGGAAACTAAGATAAAGTTACTCTGATCTTAGGGAGTTCAGGTCCAGAGACTGACACTTATGTTGAGACAGGTAACATGTACTACGTGCTACAGTATCAGGGAGAGAAGCTATTTAGGGAGAGGCTTAAAAGGGCCTTAATGTGTCTCCTTCTTTCCCTCGGCTTCTACACAGCTTTCTGTCTGTACCCTGTGGAGTCTCTTACCACTGATTGCTCTTTTCTTCCTCTTCTTTCTCTCTTTTTTCTCAAAGTTTTATCCTTTGCCTTTTTTTAAATTTCTGCATGTTTCTTCTTGGCAAACTCACCCATGGCCACCAAAGCAGAGGGGCTCCTACATTTTTCACATCACCCACAAAACTGTCTCCTATGCTTTAGCTGCCCATTTCCATAGGTCTATGGAAATGGCTAACCAGCTGTCACTTTAGGACCTCAATTCAATATAACAAAAATAAAGACTCATTACTTACCCAGTTTCCACTTTGCTTTTTCTGTTAAAAGAATGGACTGTTAATCAGACTCACTCACTCACTCATTCAAAGATGGGAATTGGAGAATATGAATGAAGGAACAGGTTTTTAGAAAGAGAGAAAGGGGTGGGGGAGAGAAAGAGAGGGAGAGAGGGAGAGAGGAAAGACATACCATTTATTTCCAATGGCCTCAGTATCTAAAGTTAAGGATGAGGGGACCTACAGAAAGCAAATAAGGACTTAATTTTCTAATCGTATACATCTATTCTTGCAAAGTAATTATCTCTGAGAGCTGTAACATCATTTTCAGCACTTCATCCTAGGTGCAGTACTTTTTTTTTTTTTTTTGCCTCTTTCTTCCCCTTCAATACTCCATGCATATCACTTCCTTAGGCAACCCTTGGACCATACTACCATTAGCTTCTGCCAAACCAAACTACAGTCATCTAGTCCCTGTACACTCCTCAATCTACCCTGCCCTGGGGCTATTACTCATGCTGTCCCTCTTGTTTGTCTACAATACATACTGTGTGAGCACCTTCTACCCTATCAGACCCTGTGCTAGGCATATCCACAGTAAACATGAGGAATGGCTCTTGCCCTCATGCAGTATACATTCTAGTAGGGGAGCTAGACAAAACCCAGCAGACACATAAATAATTGCATGCTGAGGTAAGTGCCACAAAGGAAAAACAAAGCACGGGGCAAAGAGACAGAATGGCGGATGTTTTAAAGCGACTGGTCTGGAAAGATCTCTCAAGGAATGACATTTAAACTGAGCCCCAAAGGATAAGAATTAGGAATAGAAAGTATTCCATGCAAAGAGAACAGCACAGAGATTCTTTACAGGGAAGCAGCTGGGTCTGTTCAAAGGACTGCAAAAAGGCTAACTGTGGCTGTGTCTAACGCTCAAGGGAGAACAGGGCAGGTGCCACGTCATGCGGGACCTGTTAGTGGCTCAGATGCTGCTGCCCTAGACTGAGGTATGGTAGTGGAGATGGAGGGAAATCAAAGGACAGGAGATATTCTTTTGCAGCCAGAATTGACAGGCATTGTTGAAATTCAGAAAAACAATAATTAAAGCCAGCTCCTAGGTTTCTTTCTGGCTTAAATACCTGGGTGAATGGTGGGGCACTTTGCTGAGATGGTGAAGACTTGGGTGGAGGGGGTGCATGTGAGGGTTAAAAAGCCAAGGGTTCCATTTCCAGCACATTAAGTTTGCGACGTCCATGACACCCCCACAGGTGCTGGAAGTATGGGGTCTGAAGGTCAGGAGCTGGGCAAGTGATACCCATGTGTGAGCCATGAGCTTGATGATAGTGCTGATATCTTCTCTGTCAGACACTTGTTTAAAAATGCAAAGATCAAGCCTGCAGGCCAAAGAAATACAACTCAAAACAATGAGAAATCCTTTTTGGCTTGCCCAAACTTTTTTTTTTTAAGTGTTCATACCAGCAGGAGTGCAGTGTGATACACTCTGAAACTTTGTTACTGTTCAAAGCAATACTGTTACCACATATCAAGAGCATGAAAGTATTCAAATCGGTTGACCCAGTCACCTCTAGAAGTCTATCCTAAGGAAACAGCGACAGATGCAAGTTAAAGGTATTTGTTTATAGCATGACTCAGAATAGCCAAAAATCATCTCAATTTTTGACAATAACACATTAGTAATCAATATGGTACAACTATAGGATGGAATATTACATAACTATTAGATAGCATGGTTTCAAAAGACATGAGAATATGCTCACAGTACAGTGTTAGGTTATAAAAAACAGGATAAAAAGCTATATTCACAGTATTAATTGAAATTTATTGGCTAAAATAACTATATATATCCGAAAGAAAATACATCATAAATTTAACAGTGATCATCTAAGAGTTTCATACTCAGGCTTATTTTTAATTCAAATATTCTGTTTCATAAACTTTCTACAATGAACATTATTACTTTTACATTCAGGAAAATAAAGTTCTCTTTGTAACCATCCATTAAGAATCATCTCAAATGTCATTTCATTCTGAAACCTTTTCCTCAAACCCTCCAATGAGATATGACCACTCCTTGGTCTATCTGCACAACACACTATCTCTGTGGCACTTACAGTCTTTTCTCTTTTTTTGTATGATTATTTGGATATCAAACTCATTTAAACGCTCTGTTAAATGTCAATGGGCTGCACTCAGCTTCTAACAAAGGACAGTTTTTGTAAGTTTATCCTACATCCTCAAAAGAGCATTTGTTGTGACTCACTATCCCCTAACCACACTCCTCGATTCTTCACAGCCCTCACCTCTTGAACTTCCGTGATTATTATCGTGTGCCTCCTTCACTGGAATCGAAGCTCCGGCACAGCACTGACTTTGTCTAGTTCTCTAATACCTAAACAGTTCCTGGCACATAGGAAGCGCTCAATAAACAGTTTCTGGTTCAATCATTTGGCTTTCTAGACCAAGCCTCTCCTCTGAACTTCACGGTATCAGCTACCATTGCTTGGATGTGTCAGTACTGAATGCAAGCTCTGGCCTACTTTCGATCTGCTTTTCCTCCACTAGTCCCCATCTTAATGGATTCCCCATCCATCCACCTAAAGCAGAAGCAGGGACGTCTCCCTTGCTACTTCCTTCTACCTCACCTGGCACAGATTCAATCCTCCTGAATCAATACATCCCTGCATCCCTCTGCCACTGCCTTAGTGGACCCTTGTCATCTCCGTGACTAACCTGGGTCGAACCTTCTCCTGTACTGTTCCCTACTGTTTCAGTGTGCTGGTTACAACACAAGTAAGACCATGCTTCTCTTTAAAAAGGCACTTTTTCAGCTGATTCCACTCACCAACCTCCTCCTTTCGCCTGCACCCTCTTTAGGTTAGGTGCCCCTCCTATCTGCCCTCATAGTACCTTGTGCATCTTCCTATTTTGGCATTTATATTGCTATTCTGTTTCTAGGCCCGTGTTCCTCACCAGACTGAATGCTCTACCAAGGCAGGGACCACTCATACACAAACACCCATACTCACACAAACACCCATCCGGTTTATATCCCCAGTGCCTAACACCCACTAAATGCTTTTTTTAAATTAAGAGTAAGCATCTTTCTGAGGGTCCCATGATAAAGCTGTGCCAGGACTATCATCAGTTCAGGATGCTCCCGATCTGATCCAGTACTGTTAGAACATAGCTTCTCAAATCAGTAAACCACTAATGGGACCACAGTTCTGACTGTTTCCTCAGACCTCTGCACCATATGAATATTGCTGTGGCATGGGAAAGGTTAGGAGCCACTTTGCAAAAACTACATTGCTGCTGTTGGCAACCGTAGGGCAGCAGCGGTCTGATGGCTAGGTTCGAGAGCTCCCACCAAGGAAGAAGCCTTTCGACAAACTCATTAAAAAGTGTGCTCTCGCCAGGGTGTCCACTCGGTGAGAACCAAGAAAAGTGACCCACACCACCATTCTCTCCCCCACCTCCGCAAACAAACAAAAACATGCACCCGCCCCCAATAACACTGCCCCTGGGCAGCCCTCAAATGATAGCTATTGACCCACCTCTCTATTTTAGCCTGTCTTTGAGATGCCATAGCAACGAGGTTAGGATAGGCCATGGAGGAATTAGCAGTGTTATTTTCAGCTGAGTTGTTCCTGATTTTGGGCAGCTGAAACTCTGCCACATGATAGTAATGGCACTGAGTTAGGTAGTTTATAAAATGTTCTCGGGCCCGCTGCAAATGATCTAGGCGCTTGCTGGGGTTCACTTGTTTCATGGTGAGGGCTCCTTGAAACGCTGGCACCATCAAGTACTTCAGATCGGTGGAAGCAATCTCTTCTAAATCTTCATTTCGGCTGGAAAGAGCAAAGAGGAGGCTGTGAAGCCTGGCTGGGCATTCAAACTTGTGGACCTTATTTACTGGGCGTGAGGCCAAGGGTGGGTTCGGGGGAGAGGGTGTGGGAGAACCAGCGGCCAGTTTCATTCAATGAAAGTGGCTGGGCGCTCACACCCAATGCCTGTGCGGTCAGCCGACACTAGGGAGCAGAATCCTAGGATGTTAGCTAGCAACCATCTCGGAAGAGAGGTGGGGAACGAATACAATATACACAAGTGCGAACTAGAAACCAAAGATTCTTTTATCTTAAAGGGCTCCTCCACCCATGCACAATGGCTCCACCCGTGGCAACCAGCCGTTACTACCCTGTTTACCCATACCTGAACAAGTCGAGCTGCGTTAACATTTCGGCAACTTTCCCAAGGAGGTCTAATCCCTTGAATACTTTGTCCTGGACCATCCGGGAACCGGTGGGTTCAGTTGCTACTTCTACTTGGTCCAGGAGCTGCTTGCTGGTTTCAAACAGCTCGGGCAGCCGCGGCAGCAGTAACTCTTCTTCTGATGCTGCCATCTTGGGGGAGGGAGGGACTTTGAGACCTCACTTCCGGGGTCAAAGGCAACTTTGTAAAAAGAATTCCGCGAGGACACACGAGACCGGAAAAGACGCCACATTGGCCCATTGGCCTCATTGTTACTGAAGTGTCAAGTAACTTCCGGGGGCGGCCCTTTGCCGGCACAGGCGACCGACCCTGTACTCATTCCTCCACGCAGCCTAATAGAAAAGAAAACAAAAACAAAAACAGGCAACTGTGAAAAACAGCAAACCCGCACAACCCGAGCAGCTTTCGAACTGCTCCTCGGTGCCGACAATGGCCTGGGGGGGGGGGGGGAGGGAGGTTCTGTTGGCTCTGAAGCCCGGAACCCGGGGCGGAATTCGGAGCGCGAGCGGGCGCGCTGGAGGAGCCGTGCGTGGCGCTCTCCTCTGCCTCGGGGGTCGCTCTCTGGGTGAAGGCGGCCGAGCAGCCTGGGGGCTCCGCTCCTGCCGCCGCCACGGTGCTCCCACGGGTCGCTCAGTCGGCGGCGGGAGCGGAAAGTGCGCGTAGCGCCCCCCTCCGGTTTCCGTGACCCACCAGCTGGAACTCAGTTCCTCCCGGCCAATCCTCGCCGCCCCTTCTTCCCTTCACGTCCCCTCCGCCCCCCACCCCAATAACTCCAGTGCCCTTTGGGCCGGGGTCCTTTGGAGCCACGCCCTCTTCCTTAGTTCAGATAATTTGCTAACCTTGCAACTCCGATCCCCCAGCAACAGTCTTCCAAATTTCGTGCCACTTAGTTACCAGGTCAACTGTAACTTCCCGTGTCCCTCAGCCGTCAAGGTTACTTCTGGGCATCTCTGTCATAGCACCTACCTCTCCGTATGACAGCTAGTGGCTTACAAATCTATCTCCCTTGCCAGAATGAATAGGTTTCTTCTTTGCACTCCTCTTGCTAGCCTTAGTACTTATGAAGTGCTCAGTGTCATTATATATGAATTTAAAAAAAATAAGTGATCAGTTTGGAACAGCCCAGTAGTACAGAACTGCACTGTTCAATAGGTACCCACTAGCCACATGTGGCTATTTTGAATCTAAATGTGCTTTAAGAGGAAGATACACAACAGATTTCGAAAACATTCCAACACAAATGTAAAACATCTCAAAAACTTTTTACACTGACTTCATGTTGAAATGGCAATGTTTTCGATATATGGGGTTCAATATATCCTTAAAATTCATTTGGACTTCTGTCTTCACTTTTTCAGGTGCCAACCTAGAATAGTTAAATTACTTTTGTGGCTCACATTACATTTCTACTGTGCAGCACTGCTGTGCAATATAATCCAGGAGTTTCCCTGAAGGGAAGCCAGTGCTTTCTACAAATCACTATACATACTGATTACTTTAGGGAACATCCTGAATTGCCCTAGGCGATTTAAGTAGAAGGAACACTGCCCTAGAAAATAAACTTTTAAACTATATATAGTTGAGAGGACAAAAATTCACATAAAAACAACTAGAGGGCAATATAGGACAGTATATGATTAGGTGATACATTGGTATGGCATAGGCCATTGGAATACCAAGAAATGACAAGTCATTCCATGCAAGTAGTAAGTCAGAAGGTTTCTTTCCTTTCCTTTTTAAGATTTTATTTATATACTTGAGAGGTAGAGTTACAGAGAGAGGGAGAGGACAGATAGAGACGAGAGAGAGAGAGAAAGAGAGACTTCCTTCTGCTGGTTCACTCCCCAGATGGCCATGATAGCTGGAGCTGGGCTGATCCAAAGCCAGGAGCCAGGAACTTCTTCCAGGTCTCCCACACAGGTGCAGGGACCCAAGGACTTGGGCCATCTTCCACTGCCTTCCCAGGCCGTAGCAGTGAGCTGGATCAGAAGAGGAGCAACAGGGACTAGAACTGACACCCAAATGGAATGTCGATACCAAACTGCAGGGGGAGGCTTAGCCTACTATGCCACAGCACAGGCCCCCAGAAGGCTTCTTAGATGTGACACACAATCATAGAATTTTAAACCTAGAAGTAAACCTGCAAACTCAGAGGAAAAATGGAGAGCACAAATATTAAGTGCCTTGTCCAACCAGTTTATGACAAAGCTAGTATCTTCTGAGTTCAATTGTTTCTACTCCATCAACCTTCAATTGGGTAGGATTCACAAAGATGGAGATCTTTGATGTGGGACAGAAGGAAGCCCCAAGCTAGAACAATGCTTCCCAGGAGCGAGAAGAGAATGGGTAGAAGGAAATTAAGGTTGAAAGGCTAAGTGATTCTAATAAATCGTTGCTGGCAACTCTGCTTTATAAGCTAAAGAGCATGAAGGAAGACTCTGGGGAATTACTCATTTGGTGTTCTGGCACCTCTAGCAACTTTATTTGAACTTTCAAAGGTCAGCCTTGGCCAGAAGTACTTGTAGAGGAAACTTGGAAACTCAGTAATTGTGACACTAAAGATAATTTGTGTTTCTTTTATATTAAAAAAATAATTCGAATTTGTTCCTGAACTTTGGAAGCCATATTTCTTTCTTAAAACATATTGTATTCATTTAAGAGGTAGAGCTACAGAAACAGACAGGCAGAGACAGAGAGAGAGGTCTTCCATCTGCTGGTTCACTCCCCAAATGGTCACAACAGCCAGAGCAGGGCCGATCTGAAGCCAGGAGCCAGGAGTTTCTTCCGGGTCTCCCACACAAGTACAGGGGCCCAAGGACTTGGGCCATCTTCTACTGCTTTCCCAGGCCACAGCAGAGAGCTGGATTGGAAGTGGAGCAGCCGAGACTAGAACTGGAGCCCATATGGGATGCTGGCGCTGCAGATGGAGGCTTAACTACTATGTCACAGCACTGGCCCCACTGTAAGCCATTTTCTATGGCTTTCAAACTGAGGTTTTTTTTTTTTAAGATTTATTTATTTGAAAGTCAGGGTTACACAAAGTGGGCGAGAGCAAGGGCAAGGGCGAGAGTGAGAGGCATGAGAGAGACAGAGAGAGATAGAGGAAATAGTCCATCTGCTGGTTCACGGCCCAGATGGCTGCACCATGAGCCAGGAGCTACATCAGGGACTCCCACATGGGTAGCAGGGGTCCAAGCTCTTGGCCATCTTCTGCTGCTTTCCCAGGCCATCAGCCGGGAGGTGGATTGGAAGGAGAGCAGCCAGGACTCAAACCAGCACCCATATGGGATGCTGACATCTTAGGCAGTGGCTTTATTCACTGTGCCACAATGCTGGCCCCCAAATGACAGCGTTTATGGGAGTTGCCAATCAGTTTCAGAGTCTACTATACATTATGATTGTTATTTTAAACACTGCATTTAATTATGTATTTAATTTGTATGAGTGATACAAAGATCCAAAAGTGGTTTTAAAAAAAGAATAAAATGCTGTTGATTGTGTTTCTGTACATAAACACATTATTTCTTGCAATTTCTGTTGTGTACAGAAGGTTAAAAAAGCCTCGTTTAGGGGAACTAGAAGAGCCCTTAGAAATCATGAACATATAATGGTTCTTAAACTTTTTGTCATATCTTTTTCTTTTTCCCAATGAAATTTTAGAGAGGTCTATAATTTCTAAAGGGACTGATGTGTTTGAAGCAGACACACAGGCACCTGCCAACTCAGCCTGTGGCTTCACCCCAGCCTGCTCAGTGGTACCTTGGGCACAGCTGAGGGATTTGACGTTTCTAAGCAACACAGTAGGAAAAGCAGAGGCCCCTGGTTTTGTGAATGAGGAAGCTGAAGCCCTCCCTGAGACTTGTTCAAGGTCACACAGCTAGGATTATTTGGGCAACAGTATTTAGATTGATTTGAAATGGGGAGAAAGTAGAATCCAAGGAAATAGCAGAAGGCATTCTAGGAAATCCAAGGATACTACGGACATAAGATGACCTTTCAGGTATTTCCCAACGTGACTCTGGGACAGATGATGGATATCCACTTGTCATGTTTTGATCTTTTGTTTTTTAGATTTATCTTATTTATTTATTTTTTTTTTCAATTAGGTCTTATTTATTTATCTTACATTTATCATGCCATGAATTCATAAGGAATGGGTTCCAGCAACTCCTTTCCATTGTGGGCTTCTCTGGGTGGAGCAGGCTGACGCTTTAGTTGAACCCAGGTACCCTTCTCTTTGGCTTCCTTCTTCTTTTGATCATTTTCCTTCACACGTTTCAAGAAGCTATCTCGACTCTTAGAGTGCTTAATGTGTTCAATACGCACATTTATTCTCTTGGCAAGAATCTTGCCCTTCACTTGTTTGTTTACAACAATGCCAACAGCATGCTGGGTAACATTGTAGACTCTTCCAGTTTTTCCATGGTAACATTTATGGGGCATTCCTTTTTGAACAGTACCCATTCCCTTGATGTCCACAATGTAACCTTTCTTGTAAATGCGCATGTATGTGGCCAAAGGAACAACTCCATGTTTTCTGAAAGGCCTGGAGAACATGTACCGGGTACCTCGCCTCTTTCCCTTTGTGTTCGTCATCTTGGCGAATTACTGGAAGATGGCGGCTCCGGCCGAAAGCGATTTATCTTATTTATTTACTTAAGAGGCAGATTTACAGAGAGCGAGCGAGTGAGCGTGCAAGAGACACAGAAAGAGTGATCTTCATCTGTTGGTTCACTCCCCAAATGACTGCAACGACCAGGGTTGAGCCAGGCTAAAGCCAGGAACCAGGAGCTTCTTCCACGTCTTCCATGTGGGTGCAGGGGCCCAAGCATTTGGGCCATCTTCCACTGCTTTCCCAGGCCACAGCAGAGAGCTGGATCAGAAGTGGAGTAGCCGGGACTCGAACCGGTGCCCATATGGGATGCTAGTGTTGCAGGTGGTGTCTTAACCTGATGGGCCACAATGCTTGCCCTTCATGTTTCGATCCTAACACAAATTTGTTATCTTGGATAACAACATGTGTGATTCATGAGAGAAATGTTATAAAGTAGACTTTCTCCTGCCTGTGTGAATTGATGTGCTAGGCAGTTTAGATCTTTGGTTTGCCTTAGAGCTGTTTTGTCTTACATAGGTAAAATTCTAGTATTTGTATCTGTAATGCCATTAATA